TAAACTCTGAGTGAATTGTAATGAATTATGCTGAATTAATGTTTTAAGTATGAATTGATTATAAATTCATGAATTCCTATGATTTTTCCCTTGACCCATGTCTTTCCGCCAAATCCCTAATTTCTTGGATTGACTAAGGTGAATTGTTGAGGGTTATGACCATGTCCCTTGTTTACTTTGATTTAAGTTATGTTAATACATAATGAATTTCACTATTTCATATGTTTTGGTTGTGAGTTCTTTGGTATTGAAGTATTGATTACCATGAAGGGCAATGAGGCATGATCTTTATTTTCATTTAATCTCAATTATGCAAGGTGAAATCTACTTATGTGATAATAATGCTATAGCTAACTGTGTTGTTGTGATGTTGGTTACAAGGACCCCTCATACCTTACCCTAGATCTATGAATTGGCTATGAAATATGTAATTATATTTTTATATGATCATTATATGATTGAATTTGGTTTTTCATAATTATAATATAGTATCTAAAGTAAAAGGATAGTTTTTACTTGTGATGACCTATGAGCTATTTTGATAAGATGTTTACTTAAATATGTAAAAGAGATTAATGTGAACTTATATAATGTTATATGATTATTAATAAAGGGAATAGTTGCTTATCATAGGAAGGGCATGTAAATGAGATGGAGGTCTCACGTTAGTATGTCCAATATCCCACATGGGTTTCCTCACGTTAGTAAGTCTAGATTCCCTAGTTATGTGTTATCTCATGAGATGGAAACCTCCACGTTACTAATTCTAGATTTCTAGCAACAATCTCCTTGACCCTTAACTATGTGCCCACGTAGGACACTAGCTTAGTGGATCCACCTAATTAACTATGTACGAATGGTTACACCTTAGGCAAGTGTTAACCATCTCTTTTGGTGTGGGAGTAGGACGCTAGATTCAATGTAGCTAACATGGTCTCATTTCGGTTAATACACTTGTATCCATAACGTTAAAGTAAATGAATAAGTTAAGTATGTTAACTCTTAATAGGGTTGTCGTGAAAGCTTCTTCATATTGTTAGGGAAGGTATGGGACTACCCTTACTCATTGCACATGTGGGGTCCTAAGGGATGGTTCTAGTAGTGTCCTTTTTATGATTACAAATTATGATTATGTAGATAAAATGTAGTAGTATTTATGTACTAATCATGTTATGAATTATGAGGATATGTTGTAAGTATGAAGTGGGCCGCTTAATGTGATATTTAGCCTTGGATAGCATTATGGGGTTCTATCTTTGGCATTGCACAAGTATTGTTTGGGTGATCTACATGTTGGCTTACATTATGTTGAATTGACTTATTATGATTTTGATACATGCATGTTGAGTTAAATTATAAAAAAAACATGATTTTGACTAAATTTTCCTTTTCTCATGCATTGATGATTTCATGCATATGGTCCATACTTAGTACATGTGGTTTGTACTATCCCATATTTTCTTCCTTTCTCCCAAACATTTGAGGTTCGGGCCATTGAGAAGATTTGTGGTAATTGAAGAAGATGAGTTGACTCTTTACTAAAGTCAATTGGTGAGTCCTCCTGTGTCACAACCTAAGTCGAGACCCCAGACGAGACCGGTGTCGTTGACCTCTCATAGGTCGCACACAAGCCTACTCACGTCATTCTTACTTCGTCTAGGATAATTTTAGCATAAAATTCAAAACTATTTATTTCTTAACATGCCTACTAAACATTCTACTTTATACGTAATTTTTCACCATCAACCATCTAACATTAAGATCATCAAATGAAAGAAACAATTTATTATAACGATAAAGATGTGCTTGTCAAAATGGCACCAATATAATGTCTCAACAAAATAAGAAAGAAACTCTAGTGGAACTTACTCCACTAGCTTAATCCTACAACTAATCCATAATGTAAAAGGGAAAGCATCCTCTAAAGCACGAGGTCCTACAAATTCCGGATGAATGCTCGACGTCCGGATAACTGCAGTGTTGATCCTGTAGCTCTAGCGTCCACCTGTGCTTGCACCTAAAAGTTTAGAGTTGTATAGAGTTAGTACACACTTGTACTAAGTATGGATATATGCAAAAACAGTCCAAGGACATGCATGAGTAAGAATAGCTCTTTCCTAGCAACATAATTATAGCATGTCAAGTCAGTGGACTTCCAAATTGAGATTAGGATAGTGAATGAACTTTCGAAATTTGTATTAGGAAAGTTTATGATCTTTCAAAAATTTTATTAGGAAAGTTATGCCATGAGAGGAACATGCATCATCATACTTAGCATTTTGCACACATCACAGAACCGCATACATATAGCAAATATCATAATTCCTATAACACATAACGTTGCTCATATCATTCATTCGTATTCCATGAGACCTTGGAATCATGGACTTGACAATAAGAATTCCCTGAAAATAAGGACTCAACATATGGGACCTCAACTAGGGAGTCTTCTTTAGCAAATACAGAGTCTTCTTCTTTCATTCATATATACGTCATTTCATTTCATTAACACGCAAGTGTAAACACCAGCTAAACCTAGGATGTAGTTTAGGACTTTAATAGTGTCCGTTGTGCAAAGACAAAGAATGATGTAATGTTATTACTTGAATCTAACTCACCTCTTGAATATCCTATCCTAACACCGTTGGTATCATTCGTTTCATTATATGCATCTATTAAGGCTAGCTTCATCCATTCATTTGGAACTTTAACTTTAACCGACATAGATATGTGAGCATCATGAAATCCATTGTCATGAAACCCCACACAGAAAAGAGGTGGAATCATCGGCCAAAGTGACCTAAAACATACTAACGTACATGGGAATTGAACCTCGCCAAATCCCTATATTGGCAGTATAGGTTCGATGGCTAGGAGATATAAGGACACCCATACCCAACATGCCGAACAGTCTCATCTCATGAGAGTTACGTGAACCTCTGCCTTTCCCGAAAGAAGGCAACAACGCTCATAGCTAGTCTATCGGTGCTCAGTATAAAGTTCCATTACATTCAACTAATACGTCATGGAAGCTAGCTTCTAGTATGAGGACATCATAGATCAATAGATGTTTTGTCATCTCATCATTAGTATAAAGTGTGTTAATCTCAATACTTTCATTAAAGTGTTCATAGAGACTGATCTCTTCATTAATTTTACACTCTCATAAGTGAGTACTTTTTTGTAACATTTACTTTGGCTCATTTGAGATTGCTCTCGTATTTTACATTAGCCTCATATCATGTTGTCACAAAATCATTAACATTAGCACATTTGCTCTTCATAATTACTCGCCCCATTTTACGTGAATGTTCGTTTCATCATATGCAAATGCACTTGGCCATGTAGTGTGTTTCACACTCTTACTTAACCCTTCTAGGGTTTCATCATTTCATTATTCATTTCATAATTTCTTTGTTCATTTCATCATTTCATTGTTTATTTCATCATTTCATTGTTCATTTCATTATGTGCCAATGCACTTGGTCATTTAGTGTGTTTTCCCCTCTTACTTAACCCTCTAGGGTTACATCATTTCGATACATACATCTTAGGTTCACTTATTTTTAAAAGTATGCTAGACTTCTTGGTCTATACATACAAGCCATGAGTCTTCTTTCATCGTTCGTTTATGTGATTCATAACTTCCTAAGATTATGTAGTACAAGACCTATGCATCTTGTGTGTAAGCCAAGATATCGATTTCGATCTAAGTAGGCATCATTATTCTAAAATATTTAATTCATGTATGTCTTCAGTATAAATACAGAATTTGGGTAAGCGAACACAGTTTAAAATCCCTTAGACAACACTTCACATATTTCTTTTTATTTAATTCTAGTCCACATGACATTGGGACACTAGATCGAGCCCCAACATCACCATTTCCTTTTTAGTTCTATCTTTTGAAAATTCTCTTTCTTGCTCGAGGGGTTGTGGGATCAATCGCCCACAACCCTTTTTTCATCTATTTCTCCTTGCCTATTTCGAGTTGACTATGAGGTTGTGGGATCAAACCCCCACAGCCTTTCATTATTTTTCATTTATTCTCCTCCTTAAATCTACCTAAGAGGTCTTGCATTTGATTTCTACATGCCTCCCCTTTATTTTTCTTTTATTATCCTCCTTAAATTTGCGTGAGAAGTCGTTGGTTCAATACCCACAAGCCTCCCCCTTTAGTTTTCTTTTATTCACCTCCTTAATCTGCCTAAGCGGTCGTGGGTTTGATTCCCACATGCCTCCCCATTTAGTTTTCTTTAATTCTCCTCCTTAATCTGCCTAAGAGATCTTGGGTTCGATTCCCACATGCCTCCCTCTTTATTTTTCTTTTATTCTCCTCCTTAAATCTGATTGAGAGGTGGTGGGTTCGAATCCCACTCCTCCCATTTCTTATTTTTTCCATTTTAAGTTACATTTTCCAGCCAATACCATTGTTCGAATCCCCGCCACCACATTTCTTTTTACTTCTTTATTCCCATGGTTTTTAACATGGTGAGGTCATGGGTTCAATACTCCATGACCTCACTTGTTTTAATTCATTTTTTTTTTCAAAATTTTGAACCCTCTTTGCTGATCGAAATTCATCACTAGAAGCTGGAAATTTTCTTTTAATTTTCAGCATCCTTTCATCAAGTTACCCCTTAGTTCTTAGTGGAATTTCGTAGTGCATTTACAACATTTTAGGTGTGTTTTCATGATTCGTTTAGACAAGAGACTATCCCTCAATTCAGCCACATTTTAAATCATATAAACATCACATTTACATCAACATGTGTACATGAAATATAAAGATCTATCATGCCATTTCAAGTCCTAAACAATGAAGAATAGCCACGACAACACACACATACACACGAAATTACATTTTAAGAAACATCAATTTAAGTCACATAATTCCAAAGATACATATAAACAAATAATCATTACAAAAAAACATTTCATCCCTAGTTTTCTACCAGCAAACAATACCAACCTATGATTCAATGGGAGCTAGTGACAGGGACATGCAACAGGGAACAATCCTAGTTTTTTGGAATAGATTTGTCTGACCATAAGGGGTCTCTTCGGAAAGGGACCAAGGGGGAAGAGAACCCATACATTTTTTATGTTAAAATCTTGACTTGATTCCCAAAAACTTCACCCAAGAACACGTCTAAGCCTCCTCAATATCAACTCCACTTCAACGACAACCTCCCTTAGCCTGTGTGCAATTAACAATTCTTTTCGTGTAATTTCGTCTGAGTTCTTCATGGGTGAAGAACTTGATTTATTTTATGCTTTTGTATACTATTTTGTCAGAAAAAAACATGAGAAATAATAAGTGAGATTGAGCGTGAGAGTGGAGAGATAAACGTGAGAGAGTGGGAATTGTCGATTCTGATGTTGAGACTTTCATTGTAGCCTATATGGTATATTCTAATAGACTAAAGGCTATGCTTAAACTATTGCGATTCATTCATTAGATTGTTTAATATGAGACAAAGTATTAGACTAAATTCCTATGTATTTTATGTTGTTTATTCGAGAAACCTATGTATGATTCCTACGTAGAAGTCTATGTAAACCTCCTTTCTATATTAACAAAACGTTTAAATTTTTCCCATATTTTTTTACCTGTGATGTGCTATGACAAATACAAAGGGCTTGTCTTTTTCCTCATAGAGGACGACGACGCCAGTAATGACTAGGGTGTACTTTATGTCATTACACGTACCATCCTGGTTAGGTAAATGAAGTAGCACATGCTCTTACCAGATTATCTTTGGGTAGTGTAGCCTAGGTTAAGGAAGAAATGAAGGAACTAGTGAAAGATGTTCACAGGCTTGCTCGCTCGGGAGTTCTACTTATGAGCATATCAAATAGTGGTGTAACAGTTCAGAATGGGGAAGAATCTTCTTTTGTATTGGAGGTTAAGGAAAAGCAAGTGTGTGATCCAATCTTTCTTTAACTTAAGGGTGCAGTCTATAATCAGAGAGTGGAAGTAAAACTCCAAGGGGGGAGATGGTGTATTTCGTTACCAAGGTAGTTTTCACAATGTGGGTGAGTTGAGACAACATATTCTTAAAAAAACAACTATATATTCTTTACATTCAGGTGTTACTAAGATGTATGAATCTACAGGAAGTCTATTAGTGAAATAGCATAAAGAGGGATATAACAGATTTTGTTAGTAAGTGACCCAATTTCCAGCAAGTCAAGGTAGAACATCAGAAACGAGGGGGTATGAATCAAGACATACACATTATGACTCAAGACATAAACATTCTTACTTGTAAGTGGGAATTTATAAATATTTATTTCATCATAGGGTTACCCCTTTCACGCATACAACATGATTCTATTTGGGTGATAGTTGATAGCATAACTAAGTTTTCTCGCTTTTTGGCAGTCAACACTACAAATTCATCAGAGGACTATGCCACGCTTTACATTAGTGAAATTGTGAGGTTGTATGGGATTCTTTTGTCTATATTCTCCGATAGAAGTCCTCGGTTTACCTCTCATATCTTGAAGTCATTTCAGAAGGGTCTTGGTACTCAAGTTAACCTTACCACAACATTTCATCCGCAGACGGATGAACATGCAGAGCGTACAATTAAGACCCTAGAGGATATATTAAGATCTTGTGTAATCGAATTCAGTGGTAGTTTGAATGATCACCTTACTCTTATTGAGTTTGCCTATAACAATATCTACTATTCCAACATTCAGATGGCCCCTTTTGAGGCATTGTGTGGGCATAGATGTAGATCTCTTGTTGGTTGGTTTGAAGTATATGAAGCTTCTCTTAAGGACATGATTCAATCGTTTATGCTATGGAGAAAGTGCAACTCATTATAGATAGACTTAAGACAATCCATAGTCATACGAAATCATATGCAGATTTAAGAAAAGGATTTAGAGTTACAAGTTGATCATTGGGTTTTCTTTAAAGGGGGTGATAAAATTTGGCAAGAATGGGAAGCTCAGTCTTAGATATGTAGGCCGTTATAAAATCTTGAAAAGTGTAGGAAAACTGGCATATGATTTATAATTTCTGTTAGAACTAGCAGGAGTGTGCTCGGTCTTCCACATCTCACTTTTGAAGAAGTGTGTGGGTTAACTAGCCTCCATGGTGCCATTAAATAGTGTTGCTGTGAAATATAGTATTTCTTCTAAGGATATATCAGTTGAGATCCTTGACCATTAGGTTAGAAGGTTGAGAAACAAAGAAGTCGCTTTAGTGAAGGTTTTGTTAAGGAGGTAGTCTGTAGAGATAGCTACTTGCAAGCATAAGCAACTATGAAATCTAAGTATCCTCACATCTTTCCTTCTGAGTCCACTCCATATTGAGGTAATGGTTCCTCTATTGTTTTACAGTCATTTATTCATGAATTCAGTATTAGAATCACGTTCTCTCAATTTTTACTTACATTTTAAGCATATTTGTATGTTCTTGGAACTCAATGCACTCAAAAATTTAGTTTTCAATGTTTAGTGGTAGGGATTACAGCCTCTCCCTCTATTTGAGATAGTTTAGTCTTCATTTGAGGACGAATTGTTGCAAAGGGTAGATAATGTAACACTCTGTATCCAAAACAGACCAAAAATTAAGACTTTAAGAAGTTGTAGGTGCCAACGATGGATCCAACTACAGACCATCAATCGACTTACGGTCAGTCACTGGACTCCATCGATGGTCCATAAAACTCCCAATTCTCAGTCGTGAATGATAGTCGGACAGTACAAACCGTCAATCGACTTACGGTATGTTAGTCTACTCCGTGGATAGACTAGTCAAATCCTTGTTCTTAGTTGCAAACGAGGATGAACCAGTACAGATCTTTAGTTGACTAATGGTCGATTAGTCCACTCCGTCAGCTCAGCAGTTGACTTATCGTTATAAGTCAGAGATAATGGTCGACCAGTATCGACCATCAGTAAACTGATCGTTCATTAATCAAATCTGTCAATGGTTTTGACAAACTTTTAAGTCAGGGTCATTTGATATTTTCCTTGTTCGTTTGTCCCCAAAAGCTATGTTCTTTAGACCCTAAATCATGACGTTTTATTAAGTTTAAACATAGAAACATAACTAGGATTTACCCAAGTAAAAATCATTAATCAAAACATAAAAAATTAGAAGAAGAGAGAAGGAAAAGGTCAAGAACGCTAGTTTAATAATGTTGGAAGTTTCCATCTATGCCAGCCCCAAAATCGAAAGATTTCTCACTTGAACTCATCAATAGGTATATAGGATTTCATTAGTGGGTTTATTTCGCCCATTGGGTCCCTATAATTAAGTAATTTTATTGATTACCTTATTATAAATACACCTAGGATTTCTAGAATTACACCGGATCATCATGAATTATTTATTAACAAGTTCCAAATCAGATTACCATGTTATTACTCAATTTATTGCATGAATTTAATAACCCTAGCTATGTATATCTTTAGTTATTGAATTACACATGTTAGTTCAAGTATTTCAGTTATTTAACTATACATGCCTCAATTATTAATGCATCATTACCATATTAATTGTTCTATTCTTAGTTTGCATGTTCAGTTAAGATATCTAGTATTTATGAAAACTCAGTCATAATAAGTTAAGTACTTAATTCAGTAGGATTAGAATAATACCGAATCACACTAGGGTTCATCATACCCAAATAGTACTAGAACTACTAGCCAAGTAGGTTGTAAGTCCCCTCTGTGGGCATCAACTTAGTGATCACGCCAGCATGCCTTTATACCTTTGGCAGGGTATATTGGGTCTTCTCGATGGAGTGTATCCATCAGAATCCACATTTAACTCACGTGGTTTTATTATTGGTTATAAGTATCTCTCACAGTTCAATAAAATTCCATTGCATTGACCATTTATCAGTATATCTAGTATTCAATTTAAGCATGTTATAAATTGGTCACTGCATTTATTTATCTAAGAAATAGGAATCTATATCATGTTAAGATTATATAATTTCTTTACTACTTTGGTAAGTTATGCATTATTTAAACTTTAGTCTATCCTTCATGCTTGTTACCTTTCAAGTACGGACACAAACGCACGCTATATCTAATTGTTATGTAGGTTCAAATTTTTTTAATTTCCATATCACACTTATATTGATTCCCCATTTCAGGTTGAGCAGAATGGTAAATCCTTATTCTCAAAGAACTTTAGACATGATTTTATTTCAGTATTTTTAGTCCTTTAGTTTCAGTTTTGCTAGACTTAGCTGGGACATATCCTAACATTTCTAGCCAGTTATAGGCTATTTTCATGAATAGTTAGTTTCAGCTTAGTATTGAGTTAACATCTTCTTTGTATTAACTTGATCAATTTTCATATATCTCTGTGGTAGTATATGGGTATTTCCCATATTTAGTTTTAATTATGATTTAGCTTCCACACCTGTTTATTATCTCTAGTATACACATGATCATGCCATCAGGGTTAGCTTGGGATCACTTGTTGTCCTAGGTCCCGTGTCCACGTCTCAGGGGTGACTCGAGGCGTCATAGTGACACCCAATTTACCTATAAGTATTGAAAATCTTTTCAAGAGGGTCTTCTAACTAAGTTAAGCTTAGTATGACCCATCACCCCCGAATCGATGGGCATGCGGAGGGTACCAAGTAAAGATATCACATAGGTTGGTTTGTGGTGGGTGAAATTGCTTTGATAGTTCTCGAGTTGGTACGCGAGGCCATTGAGAAAGTTTGACTTATAAGAGAGGTTGAAAATGTCTTATAGTCAGAAAAAGTCATATGCCGATGTGTGAAGAAGGGTTCTTTATTTTGATGTTAATGGTTGATTTTATGTGAAAATTTCACCCATGAAGAGTGTAATGCGGTTTGTTAAGAAAGGGAAGCTTAGTCCCATATAAGATTTTGAAGTGTAATGCTAAGGTTGTTTAGGAGTTACATTTTTTCAAATGATTCTGCATCGGTGCATCCCATTTTCCATGTATCTATGTTGAAAAAGTGTTTTGGTGATCCGACATCCATAGTTCCCTTACAGGGTTTGGGAGTTGATGATAGTCTCTCATATGAAAAATATTCGATCAAGATTTTGGTTTTATTTATGAGGGGAAACCCTCTATTTATATACAAGAATCTTACCTCTTTGGCCAAAAATGGCCGACACCTACTTTACACTTGGTCTTTTTACATTTGGCCGACGCTAAAAACTAAAAACTTAGTGGCCTATCTTTATTATTGGCCGACACACTTACTATTTACTTTACGACTTTTATAATGTGCTTTTTACAGCCGACACAACACGACAAAAATAAAAGACTATTACTTTGTACATATGGCTGATATTCAGCCGACACAAAAAATAAAATACTTTACTACCTTTTTTTTTTATTCTAAAATTACCTCAGGGATTATGTCATCCCCTTGGTTACATTTTGAACAAATATGGTCTGGGTATTTGTGCCCAACTAGCTTGCAATATCTTGTCATTAGTTCTTCGGATATGAATCCTTGCTTTATTGCTCTAGTTGTTGGCGTAGCTTTTTGTTTTAACAGGGACAAAATCCATTTTTGGACTTCTTCCATATCTGCTTGTCTTATTTCTCGCGAATTGGCATATATCATTAAGTGATCTCTCGAATAATAACTCCATATGGCGTTGCCTTGCAGATAGTTATTTGCTAGCTCTTGTATAATAGTTGATAATCCAATTATACTTTTATTGGCATAGAAACTGGGTATCTCAACTCTTGTTATCTCTGGCTGTTGGCCTATATCTTCTGGGATTATCATTTCCCGCGTTAGCCCAATTTTGACTATCTGGATCATTGGCTTTATTTCATCATAGAGTATCTCCGCTGGTGCTGTGTAGAATCTTATGAAAAATAAGTTTCCTTTTGTTAACTTTTTATATATTAAAAATGCTTTGTGGACCTCTGGGATTCCACATATTTCTTCACCTGTATATGTATAGACTGTATTTAATAATCCATAGTTATAACAAGTTTTTACTAGGTTTGGATTAGTTTTTGGTTGTGCAATTAACTTGTTATAAACTTGTAGTTTTTGGGTTAGGTAGTCTTGGGTTTTTTCTAATGTCGTGGTAGATTTGGATTTTTGATTCAAAAAGTTTTGTATCTTGAATAGGTTTTCAATATATGTTCGGGATATATGGTTATATGTTTTCTTCTCTTTATGCAGGCTAGCTGCATGCGGAGATGTTTGTGGTGCTGAAAGGCTAGCTGCATGCGGAGATGTTTGTGGTGCTGAAGTATCTATTATCTGTACCTTTGGAGTAAATGGTTTGGTAAATACGCTATTTAGGTTTGTGTTTTTTGGTGTAGGTTTCTCCATAACTCCTTTGCTTGTACCTGCAACATCAGTAATGTCATGGGTTTTAAGGAGTTTCCCAACGTCTCCCTTTAGTTCTGGTTGTTTTTCGTCTGCCGAAGGACGTAGTTCCGCATTTTTAGAGTCATGCTGCTGACTATTAGCTTTCAGATTTTGTACCTCTGTCTCTATTTTTTCTATTTTCTGGCATAGGTTTGTGATCATTGCCAATAGATCTTTCATTATATCTCTTTCTTGAGAGGTAGTCTGCAATAAGATTTTCATCAGTTTTAATAATCTCAATTGTAACTGTAAAATTCAATATATTTAATATCAATCTTCTTATTTCTTTTGTTGTAACTGAATCATCTATCTTTTTGGTTATCCACCACTTTACCTGTGTGTTATCTGTTCTTACAATAAATTTATTGTAAACTATATATGGTTCAAATGCTAACAAACATTTATATAATGCAAATAATTCCTTTTGATTTATTTCCCATTATGCTTGTGCTTTAGTATATGATCCTGAGCAATACCTGCAATGGTGTTCTATCTTTTCTTTGTTATATTTATACTTTAATACTCCTCCATAACTATGGTCACTTGAATCTGTTTCAATTATATATGTAAATGTTTTACTTTCATCGGGAAAATATAGTTTTGGTAATTTTTTGCATAATTTTTTGATATTTTTTATGTGTTCTTTGTTTTTGTTGTCAAAATGATATTCTCTTTTTTGAGTTTTTTGTATAGTGGTTTTAAATGTTCTGCTAGTTTTGGTATGTATTCTCTTACTTGGTTTACTAATACTAAAAATGATTGTAATTTATTTTTTGTATCTATATTTTCATCAATAGTAATTATTTTTTGTACTATATGAATTTGTATTTTTATTCCATTTTTATCTATTTGTATTCCAAGAAATTCTATCTGTGGTTTCATAATTTCTTCTTTACTTTTACTTAAACTTATACCTGAATGTTTAATTATATGTATACATTTTTCTAATAATCTTATATGTTCATCTTGTATTTTAGAATATAGTAATATATCATCTATATATACAACACAATTTTCTAACTGGTTAAAACAGTTATCCATAAAATGTTGGTATTTACCTCGTGCATTTTTATATCCAAATGGTAATACATTCCATTCATAGAATCCTTGCGGTACTGTGAATGCTGTTAATTGTTTAGATTCTTCTTCTAATTTTATGTGGTAAAATCCTGATTTACAGTCAAATTTACTAAAATAATTATATCCTTGTATTTGTCTTATTTTTAGTATTTTGTTTGGTATTGGATAATTGTATGTTTTAGTTTTAACATTTAGATTACGATAATCTATGACCATTCTACTTTTACCTCTTTTTTGTTCACCACGTTTTATAACTATAAATGCTGGACTTGTATGTTTACTATTGCTTTCTTGTATGTAATTATTTTCTAATAATTCATCTATATGCATTTTAAATTCTTTTAAATCATCAAAGTTATATTTTAATGGTTTCTGTGTTATTATACTATTTTCATCTATTAATTCAATTTTTACTTTTCTCTTATGTTTTTCCCATCCTTGTAATGGATTTTCACTGTATAATTGTTCTAGTTGTTCATTAATTATTTTAACTTTGTCTATTGTAAATATAATTATTTCTAATTGTGATATTTGTTTCTTATTTATATTTTCCATTTTTTGGTTTATTTTTTCACTTCCTTTTATCCATTCCATAGGTTTTCGTTGTTTATTATTTACTCTTTTTGCTCCTATTTTGTTCCGCATGGTGTGGTAAACCACCAATATGTCTTTGTTATTATGAAAAAAATGGCATTCCTAATAACATCTCTTTTGTGGTAAATTCAAAATTATACATTTCTTCTATTGTTAGTATTTTATCCCATAATTGTATTTTTATATTTTTTGCTTTATATTTAATCATACTTTCTTCGTTATTAAATCATGTTACTACCATAGGTATTTTTAATTTTTCCCATTTATTTTCTGGTAAGCAATTATATTTACATATATTTGCTTCTGCTCCTGTATCTATCATAAGAGTATAATATCTGTTGTGATATCCTTCTACAATAATCTTTGCAAGTATAAATATTTTCATTAATCATTTTGTTCTTTTTATAATTATTTTCTTATTTTGACAAGTTATTGTTAATTGTTCATTTTCTATGTTGTATGGTTTAACCTTTTCTAGCCATTTTATTCCTAATGTAATATTATGGTTTTCTTGGTATATTTTAAATGATATTACTAAGGGTATTCCTCCTATAATTATTTCTTTTTCCGTTGTTTCTTCATTTGTGTTTACTAGCTCACTAGGTAATCCAGGGCATATGTGTCCTGTTTTCATAATTTCTTCTTCTAATACTAACTCTCTTGTTATGTAATTTTATTCTTGTCCTGTATTTATTAAGATTTTATATTTTCTTTGGTCTATTATTCCTGCTATGTAATAATGATATGGTGTTATTTCTTCCTTATCTAATAAGTTTTGTGGGATTTCATAATTCCTTTTAGATGTACTCATTCTTGATGAGGTAGTTCTTGTTAACATATTTGGTACGCTTGAAGTGCTTAATCTTTCTTTTACAATTTCTAAATCTTCTTCTATGTCAATTTCCTTATAGCTATAGTCATTATTGTCTATTATAATAATTATTTTTTCAAAAGGATTTTCTATTTTTATTTTATCAATTTTATTTCTTGCTGTTATTTTATGCTTTGTTGTTAATATGTATAGGTTTTTACATCTTGCTGTAAATACTTTGCTACCTGGTGCTAGTTCTATTCCAGACATTTTCCAATATAAGACTAATGATTTATCTATATTTCTATCTTTTAATGGTACTGTATAATTAACACTTATTATAAATTTAAATTTTTGATATATTAAGTTTCCTTTTACTGCACTAATTACGCTTTTTTTCTATAGGGTGTATAATTCTATCATCTGCTAAATATATTTAAATAGGTGTATCTATTCCTTCTCTAAAACAAGCTTTTATTAATATTTCTATTCCTCCTAAATGTACATATTTTATTGGTGTTTTAGCTTTTATATCTTGTATTTCTTTGTTTATTATTCGTTTATTTAGTATAGGTATATATGCTTTTCCTCTTGTATATTTGCAATGTATGATATGTTCTTTCTGACTAACTACATAGTATTCTTCTTTTTGTCTTTTAAACCTATTTCTTTAAGTAGGTATTTCAAGTACTTTTTCAACAATTAAATCTAATTCTTTTCCTTTTATTTGTTCAAAAATTGTATTATCAAATATAATTTTTTGTTCTGATAATTCTTCATTTTGATAATCTTCCTTGGATGTTATTTTTATTTCATCTTCAGACATTATATTTCTTCATCTGTTTCGTTATTATCTATATTAATATTTTCTTCTTCATTTTTAGTTTGTATATCTGATACTTCATATATACTATCGTTTTCACTTAATTCATAGTCTATGTATTCTATTTGCATATATTCGTCATCATCTATAACTATTTCTGCAATTTGTTTTCTTTTTGGATTTTCAGTCACTAGCTATGTGTCCTATCTTTTTGCAATTATAACATGTACATTGGGATATTTTTCTTTTAGGTCTATATGGTCTTTTCATTTTATAGTTTTTTACATAATACCTTCGTCTTGGTTGTTTATATTTATACTTAGTTTTATTTTTTCTATAATTTTTATATCTTTTGAATTTTTGTTTTTTATTTGTACACCCAAACTGTGGTGCCATTTTATTTTTACAACATGATAAATTTTTATTTAGTACTTTTTCCATTTTTAATTTTTCTTTTTGGTTCTCACATAATTGTGTAAACCATTGAGATAGAAATTTTATTCTAGATCCTAAAGTATCTACCATTCCTTCATTATTCCAATCCTTTATTATTTTTGTACTAAATGGTTCTGGTAATTTTGTAAAATATTGTTTTCTTATTTCTTTTGCTTCGTCTAAATTGTATTTAGCTTTGTCATAATATTCTTTGAATGCACAAGTATATTCTTCTATATAACACATTTTACATATAGCTAATTTTGTCATAAGTTGTCTATTTATTATTTTTTCCCTATTTTGTTCACTTATATCCGTGGTCATACCTCCAAATTCACTTCTTATTGCTGATTCATTTGTCTAGTATATCTATATTTGTTGCTGATGAGGATCCATCCATTTTCTTATCATTCCTAAGTACTTCTAAACTTTCTGAGGGTAGATTTTCTATCCATAATTTTTGCTGTTCCTACGAATGTTCTTTCTATGTATCTTGGTGTTTTTGTTGTTTCTATTTTGTTATCTATTAACTGTTTAGATATATTTCCTGTCCATAATAATATTGCTTTATTTATGTCTGTGACACAATCTAAATCTAAGAAATTATATTGTTCACTTATTGGTTTTGGTATCCAATTTTTATTTAATCTACTGTTCCATATTGCATTATTTCTATCTGATTGTTGATAACTTTCTGTATAATAAGTTGGTGGTGTCCACCTAGGACTACTTCTAGGACTATTTCTGGGACTATTATCTGAGCTTTTTACTCTTGACGTACTAGGTCTATTCATATCTCCTGTGTTTATTTCTAATTTTTTTAGTTTATTTACTTGTTCTAAAATTTCTGTATATGTCTCACTTATGTCACTTATTTCTGATTTTTGGTCATTTTCATTTTCATCTATTTCATTTACTTCATTTGCCTCAAGATCTTCATTTAATTTTTGTTCCATTTTGTTTATTTTATTTGTTAGCTCTTTTTCTTTTTCTATCTGTTTTTCTTTTTGTTTATTTTCATATAACAATTTTAATCTTGCTAATTCTTTTTCTAGTTCGTTTATTCTTGTAGTTTTTATTTCTTCTAAATGTTGTACTTCTTGTTTTGCTTCTACTTTTATTTTTTCTATTTCTTTTGATTTGTCTATTTCTTCATTTTCTTTTGTTATTCTTATCATGACTGTTAAACTATCTTCTAATCTTGCTGTTTCTTTTTCTAACATCTAGTATAGATTATTTCCTATTTTTTTTTATATCTTCTTCCTAAATTTGAAAATATTATTTTTATTATCATTCCGTCTTGGTTTTCATATGTCTTTTCGTCTACTGCATATTCTTCTTTGTTCATTATAATTTATGTATTATATTATGTTGTAATTCATATTCAAGACAATCTAATTCTAATTCTAACATAAATATAACTTTTCTTTGTGCTAGTATTGATTTATTAAATGCTCCTGCTAATATATTTTTTTCTAATCTTCTTTTTCTATGTTGTAATTCTTGTTCTTTTTCAGTTATTTTTTCCATTATTTTTTCTATTAATTGTTGTTTATATTTTTCTTTGTTCATACTGTTTTTTCAAATAACAAACATATTTGTATTCTGTTTTCGAAATTATATTTATCAAATGATCTTTTTTATCGTTATTTGTTTTGATAAGTTGTTATAGTTGATATTCTATATATAAGGATTTTAATTTTTTTCATATTTTTCGTACCTTTTTATCTATCTTGGTTTTTGTTATTTTAGTTTCTTTGCTTGGTGTTGTATTATTCTTCATAAAATGTTTTCCTATAATATTCCCTTTTAAGTAGATCTAA